GATGAGGTCTCGCGGCACAGGCGGGTCTCGAACCCGCGGGCTCAGGCAATCCACTCACCTCAGCCTCCCAAAGGAGCGGGATGACAGGCTGAGCCACCGAGCCCGGCTTAATTTGTTATTTTAAAAAATCCAGATATACCCCACAATATCAAAATTAAAAATATTGATATATATAAACCTGGATTTACAAAAAAAACCAAAAAAATTTACAAAAAAATAAAATAACCTGAAAATGATAAATATGTAAGGAAAATAGAGAGCAATTTTTAAAAATAACTGTTATATCAAAATTATCAATTGTATGTGAAGATTATAAAAATATAGATGGCATAAATAAATATAAGAATAAATGTGACATAAATGGCATTTAGGATGGTGTGGGATATGTTATACTATTGTAATAGGAGCATAATCTCTTTTTATTCCTTTTTAATAAGAATTTGCGAGATTATATCTTTTTGTTTACTTAATTTTTTTCTGTTTATCTTTAGTGTTCAATTTTATAATAATGTTCTTTGATGTGGGTTCTTTTGTATTTATGTAGCTTGAGGTTGTAGGATTTATTGAAGTCAAAGATTGATGGTTTTCCTCATTTTTGGAAAACTGTTTATCATTACCTTAATATAGTGCATCTACTCATTTATTTCTCTTTCTTCCCTGAGATTGCAATTGCATATAAATGTTGAAAAAGTCTCCCTTCCAAAAAATAAAAAAAATAAATAAATAAAATAAAATTTAAAAATCCCGATAGCAAACTATATTCCATATTGAAACTCTGAAACTCTGATGTATCAACTTACAGAGATATGCCTCTCTCATTTGCTGCCTTTTTATGCTGCTCATATAATTTGCATTTAATGTTAGTTATGTTTTCTAATTAACTTTATACATTAAACACCTTTTTATTTGATTAAAAACACTTCAAGACCAGGCGCAGTGACTCAGCCTGTAATCCCAGCACTTTGGGAGGCCGAGGTAAAAGGACTGCCTGAGCCTGGGGGTTCGATACCAGCCTGGGCAACTTGGTGAGACCTCGTCTCTACAATAAATCACAAAAACTAACCGGGCATGGTGGTGTGCATCTGTAGTTCCAGTTACTTGGAAGGCTTAGGCAGAAGGATCACCTAAGCCCATCAGGTCGAGGCTGCAGTGGTCGTGAGCATGCCTCTACACTCCAGCCTTGGTGACAAGAGTGAGACTCCAGCTCAAAAACCAAAAAACAACAGCAACACCACCAAAAAATCAAGAGGTAGGGCATGGTGGTGAACCTCTATGGTCCTAGCTACTTGAGAGGCTGAGGCAGGAGGATTGCTTGAGGCCAGCCTAGACAACATAGGTGAGACTCCGTCTCTAAAACAAACAAGCAAACAAACAAAACACTTCAAGAAAGCATGCCCAGTTTAACCAGAAACTTGGTCAGAAAATTTGTGTATCTGTCTGTCTATCTATATCTATCTATTTATCTATCTATCTACAATTTAACAATTTTTTTTGAGTTGGAGTCTCACTGTTACCCAGGCTGGAGTACAGTGACATGCTCATGGCCACTGCTGGGCTCAGATGATCCTTCTGCCTCAGCCTTCCAAGTAGTTGGAACCACAGGTGTGTACCACCATACCCAGCTAATTAAAAAAAAAAAGTTATTGTAGAGATGAGGTCTCGCTGTATTGCCTAGGCTGGTCTCGAACTCCTGGGTTCAGGCAGTCCTCTTGCCTCTGTCTCCCAAAGTGCTGGAATTATAGATGTGAGCCATATGCCTAGCGATTTAGGTATATTTTTATCAGTAGAACTTTTTTCAATAGAAATCCATTTTGAAAGTTACATTCTTCCCCTTACCATCATAAGGAAATACTCATGGGACCTAAAGTCACCCATTCTAAGTTCTTTTTTTTTTTGAGACAGAGTCTCACTCTGTTGCCTAGGCTGGAGTGCAGTGACAAGATCACAGTCTTGACCTCCTGAGCTCAAGTTATCCTTCCGCCTCAGCCTCCCAAATAACTGGAACTACAGACTCGTGCCACTATACCTGGCTGATTTTTGTAACTAAGTTCTTGAGTTGCTTTGAGAAGCAAAAACGTCTTAGATGATCTTTGGGCCATGTAGAAGAGCTGGTAGAAAATGCGAGATGAAAAAATTTGTAGGTTGTAGATTTTACCCTAGCAGTTGTTATTAAAATGATATCTTTCTTTTCTACCTCCCAGGTCCACTTTGGTTGGCTTACCAAGAGTGAAGCGCGACAAATACTCAGTCTTCAACTTTCTGACACTCCCAGAGACAGTTTCATTGCCCACAGTTCGAGCATCAAGTGAAAAAGCATTGCAGCCCCGAGATCCTGAGAGTGAGTAGGGCTTCCTTGGGTATCTGACTGACCAAGGCCTCAACCGTGAGCCTGCTGGAAAAACAGAAGTGAGGAGTGTTTAGTCCGAAAGATATGCCTGGTGCAAACTCTCTCTCCATTAAGAGCATTGCTCATATTAATCACTTAGCTCATGTTGTAACAGTCTGAACATTTACTTTCTGGAGGTGGGGCTCTGTGTCAGCCTTTGACACCTCCTCAATACCTCACATGGTGCCCTTGTAGTAGGTGTGCAGACGTTCTGAGTGATTGATAGAGCAGTAGTGAAGAACTTGCTTTTGGCTTGCTAATTCTAAGTTATGTCTGTGTCCTGCCTTTCAGAATCAAGAAAATCATCCAGATGGGATACAGCTAAACAAGAAAAGAAAGAAGATTCCATTAGTGAATTTTTAAGTCTGGCTAGATCAAAAGTTGGTCCGCCTAAACAAGAGCCCAGTCCCTTCGTAAGCAGAGAGGAAGAACATGCACCAGAATCACTCTCAGATAAGGTACTGGGGCTTCCACGTTCTCTTTGCCAGGCTGACTGTGGCCTGTGCCTTTCTCTGTGGGTATGCCTGCTCCTCTTTACTCAATAGCAGGGGTTAGACTGTGTAGGGCCAGAGAGCAAATATGCTAGGTTTTTATGAGCCATGCAGTTTCTCTTTTTTTGAGTCAGTCTTACTCTGTCACCCAGACTGAATGCAGTGGCAAAATCATGGCTTACCGTAGCCTCAAACTCGTGTGCTCAAGCAATCCTCCTACCTCAGCCTCCTGAGTAGCTGGGACTACAGGCATGGGTGGCCACACCTGGCTGATTTTTTGATTGTTTTGTAGAGATGGGGTCTCACTGTGTTGCCCAGGTTGGTCACAAACTCCTGGGCTCAAGCAATCCTTCTACCTTGACCTCCCAAAGTGCTGGGATTACAGGCATGAACCACTGTGCCTGGCCCATTGGGTCTTTTTTAAATACAATTCAATAATCTATGTTTTGAACATTTGCATTTAATGTAACTGCTGATGTTTTTGGATAAAGGTATACAATTTCATTATGTTTTCTGTTTGTTTCCTTTCATTTTTGTTCCATTCTTTCTCTTTTCCTGCCCACTTTTGGATTACTTAGATAATTTTTAGTATTCCATGTGAATTTTTTTATTTCTTTATTTTTGCTCTATCTCCTTGTCTTTTTTTTAGTGATTGCTCTGGAAATTATCATGTATGAATTTATCTTTTATCCAATTTTTTTGTGTGTGTCAAAATCTTACTCTGTCACCCAGGCTGGAGTATAGTGGCACAATCACAGCTCACTGCAGCCTCAAACTCCTAGACTCAGGCCCTCCTTCCATCAGCGTCCTGAGTAGCTGGGACTACAGGTGTGCACCCCCGTGTCTGGCTAATTAAAAAAAGGTTTTTTTTGTAGAGACATGTTCTTGCTATGTTGCCTAGGCTGATCTTGAACTCCTAGGCTCAAGCAACCCTCCTGCTTCGGCCTCTTAAAGTGCTGGAATTACAGATGTAAACCACTGCACCCAACCTGAATTTCTCTTTTTATAGTCTACTTAGAAGTAATGTTTTACCACTTCAAGTAGAATGTAGAAATCTTACCACTGTATAGGCACCTTTACTCTCCCCACTTTATGTTGTCTTTTTTTTTTTTTTTTGAGTTGGAGTCTCACTCTGTCGCCTAGACTGGAGTGCAGTGGCCGCTCCCGGCCACCGCAGCCTCGGCCTGCTGGGCTCTGGAGATCCTTCTGCCTCAGCCTTCCAAGGAGCTGGAACTACAGGCGCACGCTACCACGCCCGGCTAGTTTTTGATTTATTGTAGAGATGAGGTCTCGTCAAGTTGCCCAGGTGGGTCTCGAACCCACGGGCTCAGGCAATCCACTCACCTCAGCCTCCCAAAGTGCTGGGATTACAGGCTGAGCCACCGAGCCCGGCCTATGTTGTCTTATATATTACATATATATACACTGAAAACAGCAACAAACAATTTTGATGTTTGCTTTCAATCATTATACATATTTTATTTATTTATTTTTTTGAGTTGGAGTCTCACTCTGTCACCCAGTCTGGAGTGCAGTGGCGGCCACCGCAGCCTCCACCTTCTGGGCTCCGGCAATCCTTCCACCTCAGCCTTCCAAGTAGCTGGAACTACAGGCGCGCGCTACCATGCCCGGCTAATTTTTGATTTATTGTAGAGATGAGGTCTCGCCAAGTTCCCCAGGTGGGTCTCAAATCCACGGGCTCAGGCAATCCACTCACCTCAGCCTTCCAAAGCGCTGGGATTACAGGCTGAGCCACTGAGCCTGGCTGATTTTATTTTCATGGAGACAGGCTCTTGCTTTGTCACCCAGGCTGGAGTGCAGTGGTGCTGGTGCTGTCATAACTCCCTGTAACCACAAACCCGAGGCTCACCTGATCTTTTTCTTGCAGCCTCTCAAGTAGCTAGGACTACAGACATGTGCCACCTGGCTTACAATACATATTTTAAAATAACTGATGCGGAGATAATACTCTATTTTACTTACTCAGATATTTTCCATTTCTGTTGCTCTCTTCCTTCCTGAGTTCTATGTTCCCTTCTCTTATTATTTCCTTCTGTCTGAGGAACTTCCTTTAGCGGTTTTTTTAGAGCAATTCCAACTACTGATTTCTTAAACTTCCTCTGTCTGAGAATGTCTTGTATTTCTATTTCATTTGTTATTTTTTCTTTTTTTTTTTGAGTTGGAGTCTCCTTCTGTCACCCAGGCTGGAGTGCAGTGGCATGCTCATGGCTCACCAGAGCCTTGACCTCCTGGGCTCAGGTGAACCTTCCACCTCAGCTTTCTGAGTAGCTGGTACCACAGGCATTTGCCACCATGCCAGGCTAACTCTTAAAATTTTTTGTAGAGATGAGGTCTTGCTGTGTTCTCTAGGTTTGTCTCAAACTCCTGGGCTCAAGCGATCCTCCTGCCTCAGCCTTCCAAAGTGCTGCAATTACAGGCCACTGCGCCCAGCCTCGATTTCATTTAGTTTTTTTTTGAGTGCAGTGGCACGCTCACAGCCATTGCAGCCTCGACCTGCAGGGCTCAGGCAATCCTTCCACTTCAGCCTTCCAAGTAGCTGGAACTACAGGCACGTACCACCACACCCACCTAATTTTTTGATTTATTGTAGAGACGAGGTCTCGCCAAGTTGTCCAGGCTGATCTCAAACCCCTGGGCTCAGGTAATCCTCTCACCTCAGCCTTCCAACGTACTGGAATTACAGGCTTGAACCACCACACCCAGACTGATTTCATTTCTGAAGAATGTTTTTGTTGAATATAGACTTCTGGGTTGACAATTATTTTCTTTTAGACCTTTACAAAGTTTGTGCCACTTCCTTCCGGTCTCCATTTTTTTTTTTTTTTCAGTTGAAGTCTCATTCTTTGTTGCCCAGACTGGAGTGCAGTGGCATGCTCACGGCCACTGCAGTCTCGACCTGCTGGGCTTAGGTAATCCTTCCACCTCAGCCTTCCAAACAGTTGGAACTACAGATACACACCACCACGCCTGGCTATTTTTTGTTATTTAGTATAGAGATGAAGTCTCACCAAGTTTCCCAGGCTTGTCTCAAACCCCCAGGCTCAGGTTTCCCAAAGTGCTGAGATTATAGGCTGAGCCGCTGTGCCCAGCCTGGTCTCCATGTTTTTAATGAGAACTCTACAATAATTCAAATTATTGTTCCTTTGTTTTTAATGAAGTGATTTTTTTTCCTCTAGCTGCTTTAAAAACTTTTACTTGTCTTTGTTTTTTACCTATTTGATTATGCTGTATCTGGGTATAAATTTTTTTAGTTTATTTTGTTTGGGATTTGCCAAATTGCTTGAATCTCTGAGTTTGAAGCTAAGACAGTCACTGTGCTTTGTTACATTTTTTTGGATCCTTTGCAAGTCTCATTAATGACCAGTCTCCAAAGAGGCTTCAGCTGCTTCTACGTCATGTCACATTCTATAGTTCTTGACTCAGAAACAGCAGAAAAATATATGCTGTGTGAGTGATCACTGTGTAGTAAGATGGTGTGTGGCAGTAGATGCCCATGAACCTGAGAATCAACATACATATGTGGGTGTGTGTCTGTGAGTATGTTCTAGAGTGTTTGACTCCCTCCTACCTTCTTTATTCATTGTTAATTCTTCTTTATTCGCTGTTAATACAGATGGTGAACAGAGATGCGGATTCACAGACAGAGGGAGAAAGTAGCCGTCCGTCCATGGACTTATTCAGGGCCATCTTTGCCAGCTCCTCAGATGAAAAGTCCTCATCCTCTGAGGAGGAGGAGGGTGACAGTGAGGATGACCAGGCAGGCACCGAGGAGGCCCACTCCAAAAGCCCCCAAGATACTGGCTTGGTGGACGCATCATCTGTGGTACATGGTATGTCAGTATCTCAGATTTGGGGTCTAAAGGAGAAAACGGTAATGTCTGTAGAGAAGCAGCTCCTTTGTTTAGTCTGTAATCTTAAGCCAGGATAATTAGCCATCAACACTAGCCAATATAATCTTTTATATTCTTAATTGGAGTGCAACAAAGTTTTTTTTTTCCTTTTTTTTTTTTTTTTTGACTCAGGCCTCATTCTGTCACCCAGGCTGGAGTGCATGACATGGGATCACAGCTCACCACAGCCTCAACCTCTTGGGCTCAGGTGATCCTTCCACTTCAGCCTACAAAATGGTGAACCACCATGCTTGGCAAATTTTTTTGATTTTTTGTAGAGACGAGGTCTTGCTATACTGCCCAGGCTGGTCTTGAATTCCTGGGTTCAAGCAATCCTCCTACCTTAGCCTCCCAAAGTGCTGGGATTACAGGCGTGAGCCACTGTGTATAGCTGATTTTTTTTTTTTTCTATCTGGTATAAATCTCTGGTATATTTTTCAGGTAACTTTCTTGGACGATATTGACTTTCCAACTTATCCTAGTTGATAAGAGTTTTAGAAAAGTAAAATCTTTATTCAAAAAGATAGTTAAAAAAATCTTGTTGGTCAGAAGCTTCCATGATTATTGGAAAACATTTGGTCATGAAGTGTACTGGGGCTCTGTCTGCTTTCTTCTCTGTATGGCAAATTGTACACCCTGGATCAACCATCAGGTGGACATTGCCTGTTACTCATTAGCACTTGGTCCATGGTGTCCATTCTTGTTACTGTGAGTCTAACAGTTGGTTCGGAGTCTGTCACCCCTGCCAGTTCAGGCCCAGGAAAAGAGGCCTTCTGGCACCTGCAGGGGTGGGAACAGTTTTAGCAGTTCGGGTGGGTAGATGGAATTTCTCAACCAAGTTGATGCTAGAATTTCTCCTGCCAGTCGATGCTGGACTTGGGTGTATTTTTTGAGGACCTTTAACCAGGATGTTTCATAGAAATATAAAGTACTGTTTCTTCTTAGGTAATTGTAAATATCAGCCTATTTCTTTTTTCTGTATAAAAACATGTTTGATTACATAGTCATATGTATTTGAATTTTAAAAGTTTAAAAGATTTCTATAGGACTATGGAAAACTTGAGTCCCTTAGAATTCTGCTTCCCAGAAATAACCATTCTTAATACTTTGATGCATATTTTTCTTAACATTTTTCATTTTTATATCTCTTCTATCTTGAAAACATAGTAATCTGTTTAAAAAACAAGGTTATTAATGTGAACACTAAACATGATCAATTATCTTCAGTTTTTTCCCCCTTTGATAAATTATTTTGAGTGACATTAGTGTCCCCTGGTTTTCTGAGTTGAGACATTTGAGGGGACCCAAAAAACCCTGGAGTTTATTTATAAAAAATTGTGTATTTATTCTTACATGCTTAAACTTCAGACACCTTCAAAGTACTCTCATTTGATGCAATATGCCTATTGAGATGCTTTTTCTACTGCTCAAAAGTTTTTGACCCTGTCAATTCTGGTGCCTTTCAGTGTGTCTGCCGTTTTTTGTTTCACCTCTTCCACGTCAGCAAAGCATTTCCCTTTGAATAATTTTTCATCTGAGGAAACAAAAACAAGTTGCTGGGGGTGAGATCGGGTGACTAGGGAGCTGGCGCGTGGGGCTCCTGCCGTTTTGGTCCAAAACTGCTGGATACAGCTGGGCGTGGGGGCTCATGCCTGTGATCCCAGCACTTTTGGGAGGCGGAGGTGGAGGCAGAGTGGGAGGATTGCCTGAGTCCAGGAGTTCGAGGACAGCCTGGGCAACTTGGCGAGACCTCGTCTCTACAGTAAATCAAAAAATTAACCTGGCGTGGTGGCATGTGCCTATAGCCCCAGCTTCTTGGGAGACTGAAGCAGAAGGATCGCCTGAGCCCAGCAGGTCGAGGCTGCAGTGGCTGTGAGCGTGCCACTGCACTCCAACCTGGGCAACAGAGTGAGACCCTGACTCAAACCAGCTGGGCGCGGTGGCTCACGCTTATAATCCCAGCACTTTGGGAGGTGGCGGTGAGAGGATTGCCTGAACCCAGGGGTTCGAGACCAGCCTGGGCAACTGGGCGAGACCTCATCTCTACAATAAAAATTTAAAAGTAGCCGGTTGTGGTGGCACACGCTTGTAGTTCCAGCTTCTTGGGAGGCTGAGGCAGAAGAATCACCTGAGCCCAGTAGGTCAAGGTTGCGGTAGCTGTGAGTGTGCCACTGCACTCCAGACTGGGTGACGAAGTGAATCTCCAACTCAAAAAAAACCCCCAAAAACCCCCAAAAACCAAAACCAAAAACCAACCAACCAAACAAAAAACCTGCAGGACTCTCAGCGTGGTGTGGGCAGGGGTGCTCATAAATCACCTATCATGAAATGGACAAATGTGTTGAAAGAATCTCCAAAAAAAATTTACTAGGCTAGACGTGGTGTCTCATGCCTATAATCCCAGCACTCTGGGAGGCAGAGACGAGAGAATTGCCTGAGCCCAAGGGTTCGAGACCAGTCTAGGCAACACGGTGAGACCTTGTCTCTATAAATTAAAAACTTAGGCGGGCATGGTGGCGCATGCCTGTAGTTCTTGCAACTTGGAAGACTGAAGCAGAAGGGTTGCCTGAGCCCAGCAGGTCGAGGCTGCGGTGGCCATGAGCATGCCACTGCACTCCAACCTGGGTGACAGAGTGAGACTCCAACTCCAAAAGAAGAAAAAAAATTCATGGAAGTCAAATGCAGACTCTTGCAACAATGCTAGTACACTAAGGCCGATAGTTTCCTAGAATACCTACCCTCCATAAAATGATTCCAGTCTTTTTTGGGTCCCCCCCCCTTTGTAGTCTTACATTCTCGTGTGTGTGTAAGTTTTTATTTCTTCTCAGACGGTCCTTGCTCAGGGCCATGCTTTGACTCTTCAGGTTTTAGGGAGTCAGAGTGTGTGCTCATGGGTGCAGCAGCCCTCGATGCCCTTGCTCGCAGGTGCCTTCGTGGGACTGACTTCCCAGCTCCAGTGTCTGCGAGGGAACACGTTATCTGGTGGCAGCAATGTTAATGAAAGGCTGTGATGCATTCATTTTGGGCAAGTAAATGAAATAAATACCTGTCTTTCAGCCCCCCAGCCAGCACCCGCTGAGCCATCACCTTCCTTCCCAATACAGAAGATGCAGATAGATGAGAGAGAGGAATTTGGCCCCCGGCTGCCTCCTGTCTTCTGCCCCAGTAAGTCCAGAGCTCTATGGTTCTCCTGTTTGCATCAGCCTGTGTCTCCTGAGATGTGACAACTCTCTAGTGATGTCAGTATAGCCACGCATCTCATCTGACCCACTCACCAAACATCCTTGTTTCTGGTTTATCTGTTTTCAGCTCCGTTTTGAAACCCGTTGTCTCCACCTAGTGTCTGAATGACAGTTGTTGCTTTATAGCTTCAGAGACCTTGAAACTTTTCCTTTTTAACTTTCAGATGTTTACAGTTGGGTCTTAAGTGGCTTACATTTTGCCACTTTCAGCAATAAAAAAGTAAAAACCTAGCATTTAAAGATGGGAGGGAATTACAGGGAGAAGGGAATTTAAATTCTTTTTAATGTAGCAAATAATAAAACTTGTCCTTTCAGAAGTAAATGTAGTCTACCCCTCGCCCTCAATATCTGTTAACTTCTGGTTAATGCAATCTTAAATTGCATCTCATGTTATAATGTTTAGACTGGTTTATCATCTCTGAGGCCTAGGTGAACAAACCGTGGCCCAGGCATATAAATAACATGTAATAACATCGGGCACTTTATAGTTTCCTGCAGGGCCCCCACATAAATACTGGTTTGGTAACTCACCCAGCTTTCAAAAACATGATAAAGAGCAGAGCAAAAAGTATGAAGTTTTGAAAAACTGCAGTGAATCTATTTCTCCTTAGTTTTATTCAGATCGTTAGTTTAAAGTTGGTGTCAGCACTCGAAAGCTAAGTTATGTATGTCCCTTTCTCTTGTAATAGTTAATAACTTAATTTAGTATATGAATTATTTAGAGCAGTAATGAGGTCAGTGCTGTTGTTGGGTGTACCCACAGTGGTCTGGGCTAGCAGCAGAAGAAATGAGAAGTCCAGTGCACTGTCTGCTGCACAGCGGAAGCAGTTTGCATTTACTTGATTATTAATGAGGCTGAGCAGAAAAACAAGTTTGGGGAGGCCACATTTTGAAAAATGTCACAAACTATAGGACTAGACAGTTGCAGGCACCTGTTACCTGGGTTTAGAAGATGGCCACACTTCTGAAGCATCCTGAAATGTTTCTTTAGGGGGAAAAAGTTGATTTTATGACCTGTGTTCTTTCTAGGATTGTGAATTTTTGTTGGTTTGGTTACCTGAAAATTAATGACCTGTGAAAACATGGTCTGAATTTGGAGATGGAGAATCCAGGCACATGCAACTTCTTTCAGTTTTGTTTTTTTTTTGAGTTGAAGTCTACTTCTGTTGCCCAGGCTGAATGTTATGGCACTCTCATGGCTATGCAGCCTTGACTGCTGGGCTCAGAGGATCCTTCTGCCTCAGCTTGCCAAGTAGCTGGAACTACAGGTGCACAGGCAAAACAAAGTCTCGCCATGTTGCCCAGGTTGGTCTCGAACCCCTGGACTCAGGCAGCCCTCTCACCTCAGCCTCCCAAAGTGCTGGGATTACAGGTGTGAGCCACTAAGACCAACTGCCTTAGTTATTTTTAATGATTACATACATTGTGTTATTTTGATGCTTGTTTTTTGTGCTTCTACTTGGAAAACAGATTCTTATAAAATGTGCTTTTGTAGGCTGGACTCGGTGACTCAGTCTGTAATCCCAGCACTTTGGGAGGTCGAGGTGAGTGGATTGCCTGAGCCCGCGGGTTCGAGACCCACTTGGGCAACTTGGCGAAACCTCATCTCTACAATAAATAAAAAATTAGACGGGTGTGGTAGCACGCGCCTGTAGTTCTGGCTATTTGGAAGACTGAGGCGGAAGGATCGCCAGAGCCCAGCAGGTCGAGGCTGCAGTGGTTGGGAGTGTGCCACAACACTCCAGTCGGGGTTGACAAAGTGAGACTCCAACTCAAAAATAATAATAAATAAATAAATAAATAAAATGTGCTTTTGTATAGGGAGCCCAGTGTAAGAAGAGCTGACATTTCTGTGTCAGATTCAGGGCTATGGGACTCACATGCATGGTACTGTCAATCCATTCTGTGTCACTGAAATGATTCTTATCCCCATTTTGCAGTTTGGGAGACTGAGACTTGGAGCGGTCAGGCACTGCACCAGAGATCACAGAGCTGGTAACAGAGCTGAGTCTCTAAATCTGGTCTGTGTCTGAGCTTACCTGAAGGTGTTGAATTACCACAGGTTCCTGGGCATCCTTGTCTGACCTTCCCCTCATCTGGCAGCTAAGACTCTGGCAGGATACTGATTGGACCACAGGGCCTTTTGTGATCTCTGGCAGCTTTCTAAACATAGCTACAAAGGGGTGTGCTAGTCTGTGTGCTTGTCAGTGAGGCAGAAGCAAATCCAAGGGCAGGGGTTCTTCCTTCAAGGTAGACTCCTAACTCAGTAATTTAGGAAGCTCCTTTTTTTATAGTTAGTCTTTATTTTTCTTCTTTTGGTCCTGTGTTTATTACATTTGTGTTTCAGATGTGCGTCAGAAACTGGAGGTACCTCAAAGAGAGAAACATAAAAAGAACAAAGAAAAGCACAAGACCAAGAAGGAGCACAGGCGAAAGAAAGAGAAGGTAGGGAACTTCTTGGCTTCCGGGATTGGGGCAGGGGGGCTGGGGTCTGACATCCTGCTCCGTCGTCCAGATAAGCCTTCAGGGTGGCAGGCACATCATGCCAGTGAAAGAGTTTCTTGTGGCCAAGACGGAGGCACACAGTTCCTCTGTGCCTGAACAGAAATGTCGACATTCAATACAAACCCTTGACTTTTTCTTTCTGAGCAGAATATTTTAATTTGTTCAGCTTTGCTTTTTTTTTTCCTCCTTTTTTTTCTAAGACATCTTGTTATAGCATAGTTGTACTTAAAATTTGGGGGGGGGCATTAAAAAGTAGGAAAAAGAGAATTGAAGGACTTTAGAACAATGATTGGATATTAAATAATAAAACAGTATTTATTGATTATTCATTCAATATTAAATGAAGGTATTATTTTGAACATTTCTCAACTACTCTGTCATTACAGTTTGAGATTTTAGTCTGTCATATACCATTTGAAGTCAAGGAAACTTGAACAGGAGTAATGTGTGCTTTCACTGTCCATTTGTTTATCTCATCAACTGTGTCTTCTTCCGGGTATGGCAGGCTTTAATGAGGTCATTGCTATTGTTGGGTACCCACAGTGGTCTAGGCTAGCAGTAGGAGAAATTAGAAGTCCAGTGTGCAGCAGAAGAAATGAGAAACAACTTTACTGGCCACAGAGGCAAGGATTCCTGAGCATGAAGGATGACTAACATTCTCTTATAGTGAGAGAAAAAATGTGAGTGCTTAGCCGGGTATGGTAGCACGTGCCTGTAGTACCAGCTACTCGGAAGGCTGAGCGGAAGGATCGCTGGAGCCCAGCAGGTTGAGGCTGTGGTGGCCGGGAGCGGCCACTGCACTCCAGTCTGGGTGACAGAGTGAGACTCCAACTCAAAAAAAAAAAAGTGAGTGCTGATGACTTAAAAACCAGATCCATTTGCTCTCATCCATGTGGCCACGATTCACCCATGTTCTGCCATTTTCTTCCTGTGCGTTCCTCGAGTGCTGGCTATCCCGATGTGTAGTTTCTCAGATGCCTGAGAAATGAGCCATTCAGGTTCATGGGAGGTGGCACAGGTCAGCGCGCAAGGCAAGATAGGAGCCTGCTGTGTCTGTCACTGGAGGACGGGCTGGGATGGTATGCGCACAGCTGAGTGTGCACAGCTGTCTGCTCCTGGTCCATGTCGTTAGACTCACACTCACTCTAAATGAGGTCTTTAAAAAAATTTTGTTTTGTAATGACTCCAACCACCAAATGCCTCATTAGCCTTTCCTTGTACTGAATTGGAGGGAAAACAAATTAAAAAGTGTTCCTCCCCACTTTTTTTTTTTACAGAAAAAGAAACACAGAAAGCACAAACACAAAGGCAAGCAAAAGAATAAAAAGTCAGAAAAAAGTAGTAGTTCTGCGAGTCCTGACAGCAGCGACAGCCAGAGTGATGAAGGCAGCGCAGACGTGTCACCCCCGGCGCTGCTGAGACGGTAGGCGGACGAGGGGGCCGGTGGCCTTTCCAGGAACCTCCGAAGGCTTCCTGAAGACTCGATATGTCTGCTTAGAGGCAAACGTCAGAAGGGAAGAGTCTGTGTATCAACTCGACATTTGTGTGTGTGTGAGTTGTCGTCTCACTCAGTCGTCCAGGCTGGAGCGCAGCGGCCACTCACGGCCACCGCAGCCTCGACCTGCTGGGCTCGGGCGATCCTTCTGCCTCAGCCTTCCGAGTAGCATCAACGAGGCTTTTAAAAAAAGTTTTAATATTTAATTCTATAATTAACTATAATAATAGTTATAAGTATTAATTTGGATTCTTTAATATTTAATTCTGTATGTGAATATGTCATCATTATGAAAATTAGACCTTACAGGTAAAGCTTAAAATGGCCCTTGACCAATTCTCCAAACTTCCCCCCCCCACAGTTGCTTCTGCTCAGTTTCATGTGGAACTTTTAAGACATTTGTGTGTCTTCTGGTTGTGGCACAGGCTTTTAATGAGGTCAGTGTTATTGGGTACCCACAGTGGTCTGGGCTATCAGTAGAGGAAATCAGAAGTCCAGTGTGCTATCTGTTGTGCAGCGGAAACAATAGAAACATTTACTTGATTATTAACAAGGTTGAGCATCTTTTCATATTTTACACACATATTCACACCCTTTGTACACATTTTAACATAAATATAATTTTACGTAGCACAAGCTTAGAGGATGAACATTAATAATGAGTACATACTGGACAAATTGCTTTCCAGAGTGACCATAGTCATTTAAATTAGGAAAGGACCTGATTATTACATCAATTATAAAAATTACAAACGTTACAAAAAATTTGTTATGATGGGTAAAAAATGGTATTTATTTTAATTTGCGTTTACTTGGTTATTAATGAGGCTGAGCATCTTTTCATGTTTCCAGCCTTTGCTACATGCTCTTTGTGAGTAGCCTGCTTATATCCTTTGCTCGGTGTCATGTTTTCTATTGGATTGTTTTACTGATTTTTCGGAATCAAAAAATATTTCTGGATATTAATCCATTTTGTTTTAGTGTCTTACCTGTCACATGACTTTTAATTATCTTTGTTGTTAGAAATTTTAATCTTTGGAGCACTCAGTTTTCCCAATTTATTTGTTTGTTGGTATGTTTTACAATTTTATCTTTAAAAAGTCTTTCTTAACCCAAGGGTACACACACACACACACACACACACACACACACACCAAAACATGGCACACTTCCCCAATGCCTTTATAGTTTTGTTTTTGTTTAATCTATTTAGATTGTTTTGTTTCTACGAACAGAGGAAGGTAGCATCTAATTTATTTCTATCCAGATGGACAGCCAATTGTATTATTCAGAGTAAGCTAGCTACAGTTGAAAAGACCCCAAATCCCAGGCTTAGCACAATGAAGCGTAAACAGAATTGAGGAAGCCACTCCGAATCCCAGCTTGCTTTCAGTTAAGCCTGTGATCTCATGGGAGGGGACGGGTTAGAGGATGGTGCAGAGGTTGTCTTGAAGGCCCAGTCTTCATTTCCATCCACAGTCCGTGGGCCAGAGCCAGCTGCATGGCCCTGCCTGGCCACCTCGGGCCTGGGAAGGAGCAGTCCAGCTGGGGGCCCAGGACGCAGAGGAAAAAGCAGGGGCGGGTCTGGCCACCTCAGCCTCACCCAATGTCATCTCACCGAGGGAACTTGATTGTGTTCTAAATCCCTAGACCCATGTGGGTATGTTCCTCGGTTTTCTATGCTGATTTCTTGGCCATTTTGTATTTTTCTGTCCAACCTCTTTTAATTGCTATGGCTTTATAGTATATTTTGCTATCTGGAAAGTCAAGTGCCATCCCTTGTTCTTTTTTTCTTTTTTTAGTAGGAGTTTCACTATGCCACCCAGGCTGGAGTGCAGCAGCACACTCACAGCCACCACAGCCTCGACCCTCTGGGCCCAGGCGATCCCTCCGTCCCATCCTTCCAAGTAGATGGAACCACAGGTGCATGCTATCATGCCTGGCTAATTTTTTTATTTGTTGTAGAGACTAAGTCTTGCCATGTTGCCCAGGCTGGTCTCAAACTCCTGGGCTCAGGCAATCTTCTCACCTCCATCTCCCCAAATGCTGGGATTACAGGCATGAGCCAGTGTGCCTGGCATCTCTTTGTTCCTGTTTGTATATTTCTTTAGAGTAGACAGCACATTCTCATGGCTCAAAAATGGAAGGTCTAGGGACTAGACATGGTGGCTCACGCTTGTAATCCCAGCACTTTGGGAGGCTGAGGTGGGAGGATCGCTGGAGTCCAGGAGTTTGAGACCAGTCTAGAAAACATAGTGAGACCTCATCTCTACAAAATATCAGAAAATTAGCCCAGCATGGTGGCACGCACCTGTTATCTCAGCTACTCCGGAAGCTGAGGTGGAAGGATCACCTGAACCCAGGAGGTTGAGGCTGCAGTGAGCCATGATCATACCACCTCACTCCGGCCTGGGTGACAGAGTGAGACCCCAACTCAAAACAGACAAGCAAACAAAAATACAAAGGATAGGAACATTTACATTTAATCCAGAGTTCCCTGAAGTGGCTGTGCCAATTCCCTCTTCCCTTTCCTCATCAATACACGTGTCACTCCATTTCACAGATGGGGAAAACAAGGCACAGGAGATGAAGACACTTGATCAAGCCCACATAATGAATGTCACAGCACCTGATGTTACCACTCTTGACCAGTTTTGACCATCTGACAAGTCATTCCTGCAGGAAGAACTTGCGCCTACACATGTGGGGCACACATCTGGAAGCCCTTCAGCTCCTCCCAGGAGGGTGTGATGAGACAGGCACTATGCAGCAGTCAGAAAACCTGGGCACATAGCTGTGGACTCATGGGCCTCTAAAACTCACTATTAAAAAACCAAAATCAGTCGGGCTCGGTGGCTCAGCCTGTAATCCCGCGCCTTTGGGAGGCTGAGGTGAGTGGATTGCCTGAGCCCGCGGGCTCGAGACCTGCCTGGGCAACTTGGTGAGACCTCATCTCTACAATAAATCAAAAACTAGCCAGGCGTGGTAGCGCGTGCCTGTAGTTCCAGCTACCTAGAAGGCTGAGGCGGAAGGATCGCTGGAGCCCAGCAGGCGAGGCCACGCTGACCGAGAGCGGCTACTGCACTCCAGTCTGGGCGACAGAGTGAGACTCCAACTCAAAAAAAAAAAAGCAAAAAACCAAAATCTAGCTGGGCACAGTGGCTGTCACCTGTAATCGCACCACTTTGGGAGGCTGGAACTTAGGATTTCTTGAGTTTGAGGCCAGCCTCAGCATCATAGGGAGACCTCGTCTCTACAAAAAAATAACAATAAAAACATTAGTGAGACATTAGTTGAGGCTGCAGTGAGCCATGATAGTGTCACTGCACTCCAGCCTGGGCAACAGAATGAGACCCTGACTCAAGAAAAAGAAACCAGGCCAGGTGCGGTGGCTCATGCTTATAATCCCAGCACTTTGGGAGGCAGCGACAAAAGGATTGCCTGAGCCCAGGGATTAAAGTCCAACCTGGGCAGCTCATAAGACCTCGTCTCTACAATAAATCAAAAAATTAGCTGGGCATGGTGGCGCATGCCTGTGGTTCCAGCAACTTGGAAGGCTGAGGTGGAAGGATCGCCGGAGCCCAGCAGGTTGCAGCTGTGCAGATGGCCGTGAGCGTGCCACTGTACTCTAGCCTAGGTGACAGAGTGAGACGCCAACTTAAAACACAACAACAACAAAAGCTGAAGAACAGTATATACAGTCAGCACTGTTGATGTTCAAAAGTCATTCTCAGGCCTTTGGATGGATAGAGATATGTATATAAATATATATATATATCTCCATCCACACACACACATACACACACACATGTGTATTCTTGCACAGGAAGAAGTCTAGAGGGATTCCAAACACATGTGAGACCTTATCTTTAGAGATAAGGAAGGGCCTGGGAGGTGGGGCCAGAGGTGTGAAGTGTGTTTAAATACTACCCTTGTGGTTGCTAAGGGTGTTGTTTCCTCAGCCTCTGGTTCCCAAGTCTCCTAGGTAGGCTCTCCCCAAGAAGCCTGGAGGAGGCCCTGTCATCAGAGAATGGCTCACAGTGTACTGCTTGTCTGTGTTTGTCACCTGGAAGGCGTTTCATGGTCACAACCTTGTGGGTCTCAGCTGCATCCCTGATCTCTGGCTTGGGGTTGCACGCTTGGCAGGGGCCCCGGACACTTTTCTTTGGTGGCAGTGCACCCTGGTTCTGGTTGGAATTGTAGCCTGCCCCCTCCGCCCCTGCCCAGGAGACACTGGTCCTGTTGCTTACTATGAATTAGTGTTTCTCTTCTGGAATGTTGCAGACATAGAATCATACCGTTAAGTAAACTTTGTATTGCACTCGTGTCTGAGCAGAGATCCTTGGGTCATGGCCCTGTGTGTGTTGGCTCCCTGGATACGCCCATGGAGAAAGCACTCAGAGTCCCTTCTACCCCCTCCCACTCACCATCCCCACCCTTCTCAAAAAGCTACCACTCTTCTGGCCTTTATTACAACTGATTATTCTTACTAGTTTTTAAGCTTTATTTAGCGGGATCTTGTATGGATTCTTGTGTGCCTGGCTTGTGAAATTCCTTCATATTGGCAGCAGCAGCTGGTTGATTCTCACTGCTGTGGAATATTTCTTTATGTGAATACAACACAGCATATTCATCTATTGCTGTGGGCACTGAGTTTTCTTTCCTTTCTTTTTGGAATCAGAGTCTCACTCTGTTGCCGAGGCTGAAGTGCAGTGACACGCTCACAGCCATTGCAGCCTCCACCTCCTGGGCTCAGGCAATCCTTCCGCCTCAGCCTTCCTTCTAGCTGGAACTACAGGCATGTGCCACCACATCCAGCTAATTCTTTTATTTATTATAGAGACGAGGTCTCACCAAGTTGCTCAGGCTGGGCTTGAACTGGGGAGCTCAGGCAGTCTTCTCATTTCCACCTCCCAAAATGCTGGGATTATAGGCGTGAACCACCACGCCCATCTGGCACTGAGTTTTCTACTTTAGAGGCTCTCAAGCAAGGACCTAGAACCAGTGTGACCCTGGTCCACCCTAAGTTGAGCTGCCATGAGCATTCTTGTATTTATGAAATTGAGACTTAAGACTGACAATTCAGGAGCTTTGGCCCCTGGAGCAAATTTGTTTTAGTTCCTTTGCAAGCATCACACAGTGCATGGGGTAGGTGAGCGAACCTAATCCCCTACTCGGGATTAGAAGTTTGTTTTATAAGTGGGAGATTGGGCAGGTGAGTCTGTGTGTGTTTTCAGAGTAAGAGAAAAAGCATTTGAAGAAACAGATGAAAGAATGCTTCATCGCGGTGGTCATCCTCTGTATTTACAGGTGCAGACAGGCCAAGGGGACTCAGGGAGGCCTGGCATTCTCAGCCCTCACACAGCTGTTTGGTTTTTCAGTTCCCATCTGACTTTCCTTCTCTCCCTCTTCTGTTTTCTTTTCCAGGCTGAAATGTCTTCCACTAAGGAGGCAGTAATTGAATTCTGCCCTGGCTTGTCCCAGAATCAGATCTTCTGATGGAAGCTCATTGATTGTTCAGTTAATACCTTGTACAGATTGTATTTATATGTAAATTCTTGCTGTATAATACTTTTTAAAACCTTGACATTTCAAAGACTGCCTTGAAAGGTTATAGAAATTGGTTTCTATTTTTAACTTCAGTTAGTGTCAGAGGAAAAAATTCAGACTGACCCATTTAATTAAAGTGGATTTTTAAATATTTTCTTCTTGATTTTTTTTTATTTCCTGGAACTTTAAACATGAAATTAAAGGGAAGCCTTTTCTCTGGTTTTGTGATGAGAGAGCTGGGTCTGGATGGGGACAGTCTGGACTCACCGAAGGACGAGAGTGTGAGGAGGAGATGGTGGCTCTTCCTGGCACTGCTCCCTGGGAGTGAGGCTGTGCCCTCTCTCTGTGGCTGGAGGGGACGGAGGCGTGGACAGCACACAGCCAGGCTCTTGGCAGGGTGTTCAGCCGCTCAGGGTGGACGCACTGGCACTCACATGCTGAGACAGGCAGGGAGACCAGGTGGGTGACCTATACCCACAGCCTGAGACGAGCGGCACCTGCTCCCTGCTCTGAGGTTACTTCATGTACCCGGAGGAGGCCTTTGCAAAAAGCAAAGTGCACAGGGTTTTACGTTATGAAGGTGTCATCACAGAGCAGAACAGTTTCAAACTAAGAAAGGAGGAGGAGGAAACTCACTTCTAGTTTTACCACTGGAGATGAAACCCGCAGTGTTTTGGAGTAATCCACCCAGGCTTTTCTGACCGTGGGGCTGCCATCTGACTGGCGATGGCATTTTGTTCTGTTATTCCACTGCCTCTGTGACACTTTCCTCATGCGGTTATGAATTGCGGGAAGCCACCCCGATGGCTGCCTCTCACTTCGAAGGGGCCATGCCTTCACTTCTTGACCCTTCCCTGCTGTGGCATGAAGTGGGTTGGCTGTAGCCCCTCACAGGCCCAGAACGCAGGACAGCGCCTGGGACAAGGAAGCCAGAGGACGGGCTGCAGTCGCTGGTGTCGGCTGGCCTCACTGCTCCTGTGTCCGGAATGTGAGGCCTGCTTTTTTCTTTTCTTTTTTTTGAGTTGGAGTCTCAGTCTGTCGCCCAGACTGGAGTGCAGTGGCCGCTCCCGGCCCCCGCAGCCTCGACCCGCT